CCATATGAATTTATTTGCATCCTTTATCTTGCGTGCTGCAGCAGTTCTGATAAAAGACTCTGTGTACTACAACATTTATTCCAAAAGGCCGAATGATGAAAGTGGATGGATATTATACCTCAGTCCAGAGGTAATGTGTTAATTCATAGCTAATAATAAATGTGTGCTTCTAGTGCTCATAACAGTTACAGGTTTTGGAAGTTTGCCCTACAGCATCAAGTGTTTGAGGTGTTTGTAAGCTGAGCTTTGGATGCTAGAATTTTGTTGATAAAAGTTGGGGTAATCAAGATGAAATCCTGATTGTAAGAGATTTCTTTTAAATGAACTGGAAGAACAAATTGTAATTTTTAGAAACAGCCTATATATATATATATATATATATATATATTATATATATGTATAAATATACATATATATAAATGCTATATATATATATACAAATTGTAATTTTTAGAACACAAACTTTTAGAATTTTGTGATTGTAATATTTAGAAACAGCCACTTAAGCAAAACAACTCACAACTTGTAGCCTTACTAACCTGTCAGTCCTTTCCTTGGAGACCACCTACACTTTGAGTTTATTTCATATTCACTGTCACTTTTTAAAGAAAAAAAGGAAATTGTAATGACAAAACCTGATAGTGACTGAGAGCTGATATTTGGTGAGGGCATCAGGGACAGTAACATGCACCAGTTTTTGGTCTTCAGTGATGCTCTTGGTGACATCACATGAACTTTGTGCTTTATGTATGGAATCTTTTTTTCTTCTCTTATTTTTTGTGGTTTCCGGAGAATTTTATTTGCAACATGGATAATAAGCAACATCCAAACCATATTTATGGTCTTACCGAGTCAGATATCAGATAAATTCTATACGACAAGCCCCAAATCCTACAGTACCTCAGGCTAATTAGCAAGAAGAAATAAGAAAAAATAGAAGGTTAAAGCAGGAGAAAAAGAGACAGCTTCAAGAAAACTGTATGCATATTTTTTAGCAGATCGAGAAGGATGGTCACAATTCCCAGTTCATTCATTTCCGATCTCCAGTTTCAGATAGATAATTTAAGTAGGATTAATTCCATTATGAGGGTTTGGTGTCATGTTTTGTGGATTCAAAGACTGAGTTTGCCAGATTTATGGTCCAGGAAAACCTGTATCAACATTCATGTGGATAGACCTTCAGAGCTGTTGGTGAAACTCTTCCTAGATATATTGTTTTATTCCATTTCTTTTGGGGGCCACCTGAAAAAACTGAACTTCACCAAATTCCTTTTGAAATAAATAGATAAGTTAACTGAGCATTCTTTTTTTTTTTTTTTTTCCTATGAAAATAATTATATTTTAAATTATTCTCCAGGTGCTGGGGAACAAATGAACACATGGGAATCTGGTGGATCATCCGAGGACCAATGTTATTTTCCATTGCAGTAAGAATTATATCACCTGTATTATTTTCCCCTCCTTGGTCTTTGTAATTAGTGCCATTTTTGCCCTTCAAAATTTTGGAACAAATAAGATACAGTTTTCTGACACAGAAATATCAAGGGAGACATAAAGTGACAGAAGGGATGACATTTTGTTCAAAAAATGAGGAAACAGGGCTCTGTGTTAAAAAAAAGAAATGTGATTTTGTAGTGGAAGATCATATATCAAATTATTTGTCAGGCTAAATAAGGCAATGCTGTTACTCAGTTTTGCATATTTAGTATGTAACAAAAACCAGCTTGTATTCCAGCCTCATCCCAGCTGCATTCCAGTTTTTTGGTGGCGAATTTTGCAAGTGTTTAATATCAATTACACATTGATTTAGTAGTTAACTGATGAGTGCAATAACATTTGCTGTAAATAAATCATTATGTGTTTTCCTTCCAGGTTAACTTTGGCATCTTCTTAAAAATTCTCAGAATGCTGATTTCCAAACTAAAAGCTCAGCAAATGACCTTCCACGACTACAAATACAGGTTTGTAACAAATGACACAGAAGTCCTGAAAGCTTTTTGCTTGAGTTGGGTCTTGTGAACTATTAGAGAATTTATCACACTTGAGATAGCTTGGCTACGTCAAGTGGCATCAAATTAGTAAGATGGTTTTTGAGGTAGTGTTGGAAACAGAAAAAGTTTAATAAAAGGCAAAATAACAAAGCTTTTTTAGAGAAAAATTGAGCTAGGGGTAAGTGGTTTTGGTTAAAACACCCAACAGAAGTGATTATTTCTTTTGTTCTCTTCTTTTTGTAGTGAATTACTTAGGTAGGGATTTTTTGGCCTCTGTCTAATTGGGTAGCTCTAGGTCTGAAGTGAAGTTTTAAAGGATTTATGAGGTGTCTTTTTATGAAATTGAGGAGAGAAACTTTTGAGCTTTTTGGTTTTTTTTTTAAGTAGACAAAGAATAATTTGGCCACTTTGTTAACAGAGGGTACATTCCTACAAACTCCTGGTCCTTTTTTAAATGTTTTGTCACATCAAAAACTTGTCAGCTCCCCCTAAAGATGTACCCACCAGCACCAGGTGTAATATATATTCAGAATATGGGAAATAGCTATATTCTGAATATTCAGAATAGGAAAGCAGGCTCCACAGACATTTCCATGTCTGGGGGGCAAAGGCAGCTCAGCAGCATTTTCACCAAGGTTCTCAGTGCACTGAGATCTCTGCTCTCAGGATCTCCTCTCACACCTGCTGTGTGACACATCTTTCCCTTTGTTCCCAAAACTCAGAAGAAAAGGAAAAACCCTCCAGCACTATGTTTGTGGCCTGAGAGAGAATCAGAATTACTTTATTCTGGCCAGGATGTGCCATGGAAAATATTTTATTTACACAAGCCTTTTAAATAGACTTTCCACTGATTTATGCATACATTATTCTCAAAATCACAAAACTGCTACCATTCCAAAGTCAGAATATTGAGGACATGTTTTTGGAATAATTTCTTTGTGTCTGAGCTTTTGATTTTTGTCACCAAGGACGTTTAAAAAAATACAATTATGAAACATTTTCTTTTTAAGATTGGCAAGATCTACACTTGTGCTGATTCCATTGTTGGGGATCCACGAATTTGTGTTTACCTTCATCACTGATGAACAGGTGGAAGGACTTTCAAGACATATAAGACTTTTCATTCAGCTGACAATGAGCTCATTTCATGTAAGTACTGTTTTGCAAATATTGGTTTTAGGATTCATGGATCCATGTGCATTTACTGCTCACCACAGTTATAGTGAATTCTGGTTTAATATTATATCCCAACCAACAGTGTCTCTAAATACACTGTTGCAGTAACAAGATAAAATACTTATAAATAAATATAATGTTCTCAAACAACAAAAAAAAGGGTCTGACATTTTCAGAAAAAAAGGTAATAGGTAACAGCTCCTCACAGACCCCTGCAAACAGGATTAAAATGGTCCATTTAAAACACTCCCAGCCAAAATCACAACCATGAGAACATCTGCCTCATCCAAGGTTTGGGCTCGATTTTCCTAAAGGATGTTTGTTCTCCTTAACAGCAAAGTGACACTCCCAGGTGCACACTCACAGAAGTGCTGTACACCTGCAGCAAGTTTTAGTTGTAGGAGAAAATTTGTCAGAGCCCTCACATGATGGAACAGAAAAACGGAGCAGTATTGTAAATGCAGGTGAACCCAGTGGGAAGAAATGCTGATGTCTGACTCAGCTCAGAAGGCTGAATGATTTCTTTATTATAACTATGCTATAATACATTAATATACTATTTAATGGAGATACTAAAACAACAAACCTACTTTTTCTAACTACCATATCTAACTCACTTCCAACTTGTGACCCTCTCTGAGAGTCCAGCCCCAGGTGGGTTGGATTGGCCACCAGGCTCAAACAATCCTCACCAGAATCCAACCAAGCATCACCCCAGGGAAACAATTCTCCAAACACATTCCACATAGGAAAACAAGGAGCAGAAATAGAAATTGTTTTCTATGTCTTCTCTCTGTGCTCCTCTATGAAAAAATCCTGAGAGAGAGAGAATGTGCCTGCACAGAGCAGCATCTGCAGGTGGAAAAGAAGTTTCTCACCCACACAGGCAGGAGTGTTTTAGAGCTGTTCAGGTATCTGCCTTAGTCTGGTGTGAGTAGGAGGAAGCTGAGGTGAGGAAGGGAGCGTGGATGGATGTCAGCTGCAGGACTCGGGCTGAAGGAGCCACACTCCCATCCAACAGCCAGTTCCAGACCCCAGTGATTCTCAGGTGGCCACTCCTGCACAGGCTGTGCCTCCCTGTAGCCATCTGCTCTCCAGTTTGCCAAGCCAGAGCACTGGGCACTGGCACAAAACATTGCTGTCTGCCTGTCCTGAGCGCTGCAGCCCTGCTAAGTAATTAATTTCTGAGAGTACTAATGAGCCTGCCAAGCAAAGTTGTCCTTTCCCCACATCTTCCTGCCTTGATCTGTCTGGGGCACCAGGACAACAATTTCCAGACCTTTATTTGCTGCAAAGCCCAGTAATTTCTCTGGTTCCAGGTGGCTGCTCCTCAGGAATTCACTGCTCTGACACTGCTGCCTTCTTCTGCAGCCTGAGGCCATCTGAGCATTGCTGCCCTTTTCCCACAGTTTATGATAATCCTGGTTTTCACCTTTGCACATATGCACCTGGGCTCGGGTGTATATATGCATCAGTGTTTTGGCACCATTATTGAGGCTCTACTTTAAAATTTCCACCACAGCTTGAGGGAAAAAAATATCCTGAGTGACAGCAGAGGATTCCTGGAGAGCCACAACCCCAAAGAGCCTGCTGACATGGTGTTCACAAAATCCCAGAGTTATTTGTGTTGGACGGGACCTTAATGTTGGAGTATTAATTTCCTTGGTTAGAAATATCCTTACTTGGAGAGGTTGCAGTGCCTTGATGTTATTTTAAAAGTGCAGAATCATTTTAAGTGAAGATTTTATTTACTGGCTTGTACAAAGAAATCTGATATATAAACCAGCTTATTCATCCTTGCTAAAGAACACAAACTTCATTCCTTTTAGAGAAACATGCATGAGCTTGGCAGCATGTCATGCTTTAGATGCAAAGCTCCATTAAAAAATACCCAGAGATCTCAGCCAATGTTTATTGCAGATTCTCTTTTTTAGCTGCAGCATTATTTATGAAGGGATTAGCCAAAAAGCACATAAACTGTACCCAATTACATTTGTTTAGTCTGTAAATCTTCTCAGTAGTTTAAAAAGGCAGTTAAACTGTTTTGTTAAAGAAAAACAATTATCCCTGGGATCTCAGCTGAAGGTTTAACTCAAACATTTTCAAGGAGCACAAAATTAAATTCTAAATAGGAGTTCTCTTGTAGGTAGGATGCTGCTTTGCTGTAGGAAATGAGGCAATCCAAACATCTTGGCTCCCTTTTGCATGGAAATTGTTACACTGGAAAAAACCACTGGTTTCTGGTGGAGATAACCCAGTTATGTGATGAGTAATTTATCACATTGCAATTGTCATTAGAACTGAAGAACAACTTTGAGGCTTAGGTGTGCATCTGTCCTTTCCTATTGGTGTCTCTGCTCATGAACGTTTCTTCTGAATTTCTGGTTCTCCGTTGTCACTCACACTGGGATAATTCTGAAAATGTGTGTTTGAGAAATCACAACGCATTGGGAAGCTTTCTAAGTGTGAAAATCAATTTACTGGGAGAAAATGAGTAAGCATGAAAGAAACCAGGATATGAAGTGAACAGCAAATATAAACAATCAGCAAAGTTTTCCACCTTCTGGTGGGATTTTCCAGTGCTCTGCCCCTGCAGCAGCAGTGAAGGAGATCCCAGAGGTATTTCCAAACTGAAATCAGCCCAGGGAGGCTCAGAGGCAGCTCCTGCTCCACCGAGCCTCTGCCTTGCTCACAGTGCCTATCACCAGGCTTAGCAGGCTCAGGAGTGGAATTTAAATCCTCTTTCTGCTTGTGGTGCCTGTGAGGCCAAATTTAGAGTTCATACCCGTAACAAAAAGCCCCCCAAAGCACCCAGCAGAGTAATGAACTTTGTACCCCCCAAAAAAGAGAATTGCCTCCAGGAGCAGCAGAAGTGCTGCATTAAAAGTTGCTTTTTAAGCTAGTAAATTTGTATTTAATATAATATATTTAAATATTTAAAATAATAGATGAGACTACATGATATATTTATGTGATATATATCACATAAATATCACCTGTTAATATCACCTATTATTAACTCAATAATCACCTATTGTCATTAATATCACCTATTAACTAATATCACCTATTATTAACACCTATTATTATCACCTATTAATATCACCTATTATTAACTCTAATTAACTATATCCTCCTACCATAACCCAGGTGAAGCATGAAAAATGCTAGAAATAAAATACATGGAGAAAGCAATTCTGTTTGCTATTTCTCCTGTCCCTATTTCCACTGCACATATGCTCAAGGAATTAATGACTCTAAATAATTCAGGACTGCTAGAAAATTAACAGCAGGCTCAGAAAGCTATCGGTTAATTCTGGGTATAATGAAAAATGTTGAAGCTTCTGTGTATGTGGATTTCTTTTTAAACTTTTGTCTGAGCAAAGCAGAAACGTTTCTGGGAAAATATGAGTGTGGGAACAATTAAATGCTGTCAACTGAATTGCACCTTTGTAGCTGTGATATAAATATTGCCTTGGGACTCAGAGTATTTATTCTCTCAATCAGAAGTTTTGTCACAGATGCCTTCAGACACGCCAAAAAAGGGCATTTCCTGAAGCAGTGGGAATAAATCTGCATGTCTGTGGGGCTGAGATGCAGCCTGTAAGCTGCTTTAGCCTGAGCTCAAACCCAGACAGAGAGAGGAAAATGGAAATAATAATTCTGGGGTTGGTTTAAAACAAGTTGCATCTGTAGGATTTTTTTAAGGTGCTCATCTGAATCAATTTCAAAGGAAAAACAGCAAATGGCCATAACACTCAATATAGCTGAACTTTGAACTAACACTAATCACTTAAAAAAGAAATAATTTGTAAAAAGAGCCCAAATGAGCTCTCGGTAGTATCATTCACAAACCCAAACAAGCATATAGATAAAATAAGAAACCAAGCTGCATTTTTTTTTATTTTAGCACATGTGGAAATAGCAGCAGTCATGGTATAACAGCAATAGTTTGAAAAAAAAGTATGTGGTAGCAAAATGATAAAACTGGGTTTTGCAATCTGTTCTTCAGCATCTGCACAAAATGTGCCCTGCACTTGCCAAGGAACTGCCCAAAAACAAGTGACTGGGTATGTCATTAATGAAGAAATGCAAGCAACTAGTTCCCTTTTTGAACATTAAGGAACACTGTTTGTATTTATGGTTTTAACACTAATGTCACCTTTAAATTAGAGCTTCAGGTATTTCCTGCATGCTGATTTTTTCCTCTCACTCCTTTTTTCTTACAGGGATTTTTGGTAGCAGTTCTCTATTGCTTTGCTAACGGAGAGGTAAGACACAACTCTGAGTTCTTAGTTCATTAGTAAAGTGTATTAATGACACCAAGAAGGATGAACACACTGAGCAGATAAATGCTTTAACAGAACAAAGCAGCTACACCAGCACAACACTTGGGTAAAGCTGGTGGTCCTGGTTGCCACAGCCCCTGGGCTTTCCTCCTCCTCCTCGTCCTCCTCCTCGAACAGGGGAGTCCCTTGAGCTCTCACACACATCCCATTTGCAGAGGAAAAACTTTCCTAAGTCAGGGTGAAGAGGCTGGACTCTTCAGATTGATTGAGCAAACAAATCTGTCCCCACCCTACAAGCAGCAGGTGCAAGGTGAAGCCCAAAGGGGCAGGAAGCTCAGCACCCCTCAGTTCCTCTCGCTTTACACCTGGTATTTGTGCCAGAGAGCTCCAGGGTGCCCACGTGCCATAGCAATGACCACGTTCTCCTCCTCAGGTGAAAGCAGAGCTGCAGAAGCAGTGGTCCCGCTTCCTGCTGGCAGATCCCTTTGGCTGCAAGCTCTGCTTTCTAGGGGAAAACATCAAATACCTCAGGAAGTGCTCACAGAAACGGCAAAAACAGCAGCTGAGCAGCAGGCAGCGCTTCTGCCTGGAGCTGAGCAAGCCCTGGGAGCTGCAGCTGCAGAAGGTGCTGGGCAGGCAGAGCACAGAGGCCACGGCAGGCCCTGCCCAGATGAGCATGTCCGACAGCAGCGAGGGAGAGGTCACCACCGGCGAAACCACCGAGGAGGTCTTCGAGGAAAGCGAAATTTAGGAAGCTGTCCCCCCGGGCCAGCACCTGCCAGCAGCAGTGCTCGGAAAATTGGAGTGTTCATCTCTCAGCTGCAGGCTGCTCGGGGTGTGCAGTGCAAGGACGAGGCCGGTGATAGCCCAGCTGTTCCCGTTTTCTTGCTCTGGGCAAAATGTTATTTATCGGGACATTGCTAACCTGTGTGGCTGGGGAGAAGAAGACTTCTGATGGAGCATTTTGGCTTTTGTGGAGTGCACAAGGAAGCAGGATGAACTCTGGAAATAAGTGGGCTCTGGAGACACGTTTTGGCACCTTCATCCACATGTGACAGGCTTTGAGTCACGTCATGAGCAGTCAGCTTTTCTTTTTCATAGGAGTGGCTCATAAACAGAGAGACGTGTGTGGAGAACTCCAGCACAGACTGAAATCATACTCCCTCTCAAGAAAACCACCCCCAATTTTAGGAGAAACCAGACCACACATATATGTCTGTGTGTGTGTGTGTGTGTGTGTGTATATATATATATATATGTGTGTGTGTGTGTGTGTGTGTGTGTATGTATGTATGTATATATATCTATATCTATATATAGATATAAAACCCAAAAAACAAACTTGGGAAGAACCAAGTTTTTGCTTTTCCATTTTTGAGCATCTTCACTGAAAGTTTAGTGGTGGAAATGTCATTATGAGATGAAAACCCAAAATACTTCCATGGAATGTGCCCAAGTGAAATGTTCTGATACAATTTTTGTTACCTTTTTTCTTTTTCTTTTTTTGACACAAGCCACTGTGACTTCTGGTTTGCCCTACATGTGTCCTTAATGACAAAACAGGGGTAATTGCTGCCTCCACCTTCCTCCCAGGGGACCCAAAATGGATAAAGACATGGGATTGTGACAGCACCAAAAGAGTATTGTGAAATCCTTCTTCCTCCAATTAACAAGAGCCATGGTGAAGTTTCATTTCTCACATCCAAACTCAAACCTATGAAATACAATCGAGTTTGTTAAAATTCTATGATCCCACTTATGTAACTTACCAATGCTTTTATGATTATTTATCAGGCTACAAAAGTTTAGCCATGCAACCTGTGGTATTTATAGTCTTTTATTGCAAAGAATAGATCAAGTCATTGACTAGCACTAGTTCAAGAACCTATTTCTGGCACTTTAAAAAGGTATTTCTTTTATAGGTCTATCTGTGTTAACCTATTTAATCAATACCAAGTTGTATATTTCAGTGATATATTAATAAACCGTAAATGTTCGATCCATTTTAAAATAATTTATCTGCAGTTTTTAGAGGGGCTTTTTACTAGAATAAGAATTCTGCTTATATAGAATTTTACTGTAATGGATTTCTTCAGCAGCCACTGGAAACACCAGACACCACACATGCACACTTTGCCTCTTCCTCAATTAAAAACAGACTGATTTCTTCTAGAGCCATTGTTTAAGACATTAAAGAGACTGAAGTGGTTTAGAATGTGTTTTACTTAGGTGTTAAAACCATTGAAATTTTAAGATTTTATGGCATCTCAGTGAAAGAGTTTACTTTTAAATTGCATTTTAAAAATTTTCATTAGGTCAAGGAGCCAGTTTTCTGTGTTTTGAACAGCAGTCCCTCGAGCTACATTTTCTCCTCTCTATTATGTGTTTGGCCTTTTTGCCTCCTTCAGTTTATAAAAATCAACTCTTGTTATATAAGCAGGCCCTGTTGGCCTGAGGAATGATCCAGACAAAAACAACCATCACATGGATTCCTTCAGAAAGCGCCTTTCTAAGTAGATAACAGCAAGAATATAACATTATTTATTTTACAGTATTATTACAAGCTCCTAATTTCTAAATATTTCTAAAGACAGCAGCGAACTTCACAATTCACATATCTCAGTGAGAGCCAGGAATAGCTGACCGTCCTCCTGGGAACTTGGAGGTCAGGAATCCTCCTGGGATTTTCTTTCCACTTTTTGTGGAGCCCTTGGAGGGATAAAACCACCTGCAGGGGATACTGCAAGTGCAAGGCTGGACACAGAAACAGTGGCAAGGTGCCACTGTCACTGCCAGAAATCAAGGGGTGGGATTATTTTTAAGTTAAGAACGATTTCTTGCTTAGAAAAACATCAATAAGTGAGATTTTAGAGGAGTAGGCATTTGGCTATAGCTTAAGAGTAGTTACAAGTTTTTTTGTTACAAGGTAATATATAACTTTCTAATAATATATTAGAAATATTAGAAATAATATTAGAAATTATAATAATATTAGAAATAATTTTCATTTGGCTATACCTTAAGAGCAGTTACAAGATTTTTTGCTATAAGGTAATATATAACTTTCTAATAATATATTAGCAATATTACTCATAATATTATTAGAAATATTAGGAATAATATTATAAATATTATTATTAATAACATATAATGTTTTCTTCTATAAGCAACTAAGAGACAGTTGCTACAGGGTTTATTTTACTTTTCTAACTTACCAGTTTTACTCACTTTTTCTGCACTGTGGATATTTTTAACCAATGGGCTTCTAACTCACAGGCACACATCTGCTTCTGTTATAATTTCTAAACTCTTGGTTTATTCTATACAACCACACCCTTAAATTATCAATTTAGATTGTTCTATTGTATACATTGACATGAGTTTCTCCTGATCTTTCTTAAGTCCCTAAGCACAGTTTCTCATGATTATTCTTATGATTAAACAGTAATTATATTTAATTACTAAACAATCATCACATCTAACAATTATATCATTTATCATGTACTAGCTACACAGGTGCAGTTCTAGCAAGGTACAAGGTCTTCCTGTACCTAGGGTATTTTTTCTTTTCAGGGCCTACTAAGCTTAATTTTCCTTCTAACCCTAAATCCCCATAATTTTAAAACCTTTTTACTATCACTGGGAGTCTGGGCTCTGCTGAGTCAATCCACTGAGAAACACAAAGTGATCTATTAATCCTCAGGACATCAGAGACAACCCATGCCCAATCCTGACTGCACAACTTTGGAGTTTTCTTTGCCAAGGGTTTCACTTTCTGTCAAAACCTCCAGGATTAAAAAAAAAAAAAAAAAAAAAAATTTGCATTCCAAGCCCAGAATAGCCTGTGGGGGTCAGAAGAGCTTTGCCATGAGATGTGGTGTGATAACTGATCTGATATGTAAGATTTATTGATCTCAGTAATCTCCTGAGAGACAGGCTATTAATCTTTGATATTTTACTACACCTAGACCACAACCTCCCAGACACAGTGGCTCCTCCTACAGCCAGAGATGTCAACTGTATGCTAATTATTCATGTGTACTTACATTCTTTGTTAAATATATTGCTTCTACACGCCAGAGTCTGTGCCTCAGAGGCTCAAAGAGTAAAGCACAAACATTCCATTCTGGAAAGCTCTGTCAGTTATGCCTTGGAATTAATAATACTGATCCTTCCTTTCACTTCTTTTCATTTGACTCTGGAATTTTCTTCCCTTTTCCCATCAGTCTGAGCTCCCATTAAGGAAAATTCTGTGATCTGTAAAATCCTTCATGAAGTTATTTTGCTAACATAATCTTTCCCAACTCCCATAGAAACCACCATTCTGGATTTTTAGCTATTTTTTTTCCACCTGCCATTTCAAATCTCACAAATTCTCTGCTGTGCTAAATGTCATCTCGTGTTCAGATATTTCTGCAGTCCTTCCTGGAGCCACACACAACTACAGTGAGAAGCAGCTGCTTGTGAGCTTCATCACTGCAATTAGCTCCAGGAAATTAAAGTTCAGCTGCCACATACCCAGCCCTCAAAGGCTGTTTCCTTGTGCATCACATTGGCTCAGCAAAGAGGATGCAAAACACCACCCAGAAGAACTAAGGAAAGGAACAAAACCAACAAAAAGGCACTAGGAGGAATTCTTTAGCTTTTTCCTTTCTCCTTTGCCTTTCAGGGAAGGAAGGGGGTGGATTTATTTGAGAAAGGTATCACAGAGGATCAGTTATCAATCACTGACTAAACTGTCCATCTATTTATCTGTTGGGAGGCAAAAAATCTGTCAAGTGCTGTTTAACTCCAACACTGAAGTTCGCTGCTGTCTTCTAGAAATATTTAGAAATTAGGAGCTTGTAATAATTCTGTAAAATAAATAATGTTATATTCTTGCTGTTATCTACTTCCTGCTGGGGAAAGGTCCCTGAGCAGAGGATCCAAGTGTAATCTAGGGTTGAATCAGGATGTGTTCCATGTAATTCATGACAAAGCTTTCTCCTCCCACCCTTCCCTATGAAACTGGTGCTTACTGGTCGCTGTCACGCCAGCACACCTGGCTATGTGGACTAATCCAGAGTTCTACTTCTCCCAGATTTGGGAGGGAAGAAATGAATTTGTTTCTGCAAGAGAGGAAAAGCACAAGGCCAGGAAGGTCAGAAAGGCAGTGAGCACACACCTGCCTGTGTGTCTGTGAGCTGCACACAATTTGCAGGCACTCCCAGGAGGATGTGGGCCAACTGAAGCATCCCTGAGAGCTGTGAGCCGTGCTAGCAGGGTGTCTGGACTTAACCCCACATTTCCACATTCCACCACAGCACCATCCACTCTTCCTCCCTTTTACAAACTTGCAGAAAGTGGAAGTCAGAGGGAAGAGCCCCTGAAGCCAGAAAGCAGAGTTGTAGAACTCAGCTTAAAGACATCCAAGCAGCTGGCATAAAAAACCCAGCCCCAGTCTGTTTGAGCAAAGAACCCGAGACATGTGACACAGTCTTAAAACATTTTCTAAGTCTAAAAAAAACCCAAAAAAATTAAAAAAAACCCCATTGCTCTGTAAACAAAAATATTGTAATTCTGCTGTAGCTCTGGGAGACTTGAGTGTTTGGTTTTCTACTTGATAAAACAGGAAGTCAGAATCAAATCTGAGCTGAAGGCTTTCATCCTCTGCTTTCAGGGACTTGTGAAAACAACAGTGCAAACAGCCTGCAGCACAGACCACCGAAGTTGGACTGTTTGTCCCTACAATAAATACTTCACCAGTGCATG